TATTTATTTAAAAAAAATAATAGAAAACCGAATTGGAAATGATAACAAATTTAAATTACTTACAAGTCATCCATAATTTAAAATCATAGTAAATTAATTCCCAAATTTAACAGAATATATTATTAAATATATAAATTAAAAAATTACACAATTACTTAATTATGGTTTCTGCAATCAGTAGGCCTAAAAGAAACCTTGTTATTTACCAAATCAAACCCTACCAATAAATTTTGCTGTAACAAATTCCCAATTATCCCAACACCTACCGAGGGTACAATCGTCAAACAACTCACCCCTTTCTGCACTTCGATAAATACGTTCTCTCGTGGAAACTCGACATCCGCTCCGGTGAAACCGAAAGTTATGGTTGGGACCCGACTGAGGTCCAGGTCCTTATAACAAAAGTCGAACATCCCTTGTGGGTCCGGCACGGTCTCATCACCGATGACCCTGCTTAGAGCCGCGGTTAAGTCGTCATGGAATTCTTGGGCCACTATGGTCAATGTTGTACCCGAGTCGATGATGATGTTCTCCGTGTCCAATCCCATTTTCTTCATAAAAGTGGTGTTAACCTTGTACGGCAACTTAATTTTTCCGACCGACACATGTTCCAACACAACGTAGTAGTAAGTAGCGGGAATGTTCCTCTTAAGGGGAGTCGAAACGACATCGGGTCCCGAGACGACGGCATGATCGCCAAAGTGAATCTTGCCCGTCGCGTTTGAACGTTTGGTGAGCGCTGAAACCAGACAGTAGGAGAATTTCCCCTGAATGGTGTCTTTTAATTGGTTAATTATCGAAAGTGGGCCACCACCAAGGCCGATAATCCCGGAGGCTTCCTCGGTAAACGTGCCATTAGTATCGTGACCGCAACCAAAAACCACGTTTTTCAACGGGGTTGATCCAATCCAAAAAGTGTCGTTACCAAGGTCTCCGTTCGTGTAGGATCCGTCACCGTATCTAAGTCCGTACTTGCACACGTTTTCCGCGCTACACGCTAATCGATCGTTGCCTAAGGCTTCACAAGCCTTCGATTGACATGATTCGACATGATAAGTCGATGAAGCATTGGGTTTGAGAAAAGGGAGGGCCCCTTGTTTGTAGCAGTTCTTGCAAGGCTGACACTGGGCCCACGTGATATCGGACCCCGTGTCAGCAATTCCAACAACTTCTACAGGTGGATTCCCGATCCCGATACGCATTATGTATTCTCCGGTGATCGCAGAAATATTTGCATCTATCGCGGAAACATACGCTCTTTTCAAAATACGAGAAGCTCGAGAAACGGACCGAAGAAAAGCATTTTGAATACGTTCCGATCGACCATATGTCGGGTTGTATAGAGGGGATAACGGAGAGTCTCTATGAATAAGATCAACGGTAAAACCACCGTCACTTGGGTGGCCACCGCCATCGCCGCCACCGTGACAGTGGTCGACGTTAGAGAGAGAAACTGAAACAGTGATTAGAAGAGAGAGTAGAGTGAGAGTGTTCATGATTGAGATGGTAATGATGGATAAATGAAAATTCGATTAAATTTATAATGTGAAAATAAAAATAATTAATCTGAAAATTAATTATGAATTTGGAAGGTCATAAATTAATTACATTAATTATTAAGATATTAACGGAAGGGAATTATTAATTTACTTTAAAATAGGTATAATGGCAATTATTTACCTAAATAAATAATTACGAATATGCTAAAATATATTTTTTCCATATATGATTATTTATTGCTAATTATTTTATAATTTTTGTTTTATTTTAATCATTATAAAAAACTCTCTAAAAATGATTTTTTATTACATAATTTTTTTTATATTCTCACTAATAAAAAACATGAAAATAAATATCTAGAAGATAAAAATAATATGTATATAAATAAAAAAAATTAATGATAAAATTAATTTTGTAAATTAAAAAAAAAAAGAACTGTTGAAAATAAATATTATTCTTTTAATGGATTTTTAATTTTGATTCTTTATTTAAAGAAATTTTAGTAAATTTGTTATAGATGATATATGATAAGTGTATCATCGTCTAAATGATATGACGATAGAGATAGAGATAGATATGTCAGAGTTAAATTAGAAGTGAAATATATCGTAGTTATCTACTTATAACTCCTCCCTATAAAAAAGGCTTATGATTAATGAGAATTACATATTCTTTCTCTCTATTCTATTGTTGTTCATTTTCAGTTATTCTATAACACGTTATCAGTAACATACACAATTGTTAACTATTTATGATCCTTGCTTACTGTTTTCTTCTTTTTCAGTATATGATAATTGCATACATATTATCTGTATTTTAGATTTTTTTTAATTTGGTTGGTAGCCGCTTAAGTCAGGCCATTAATAAGTGGAATAAATTTTAGATTTTTTTGACTTACTTTTTAATTATTATTTATGTAGATGCATTTTTACTTATTTATCTAGCATCAAACTTCAATATATTTTCTTCCTTAATTAATTATTGGTTTATTTATTCATTAAATATTATATATTAAGAAATTATATTGGAAATAAATTTAATTCTTGGTTTGACTTCGTTTCATTAAATTAAAATGATATAATTATTTTAAATATGTTATTATTGTTTATACGTACTTTTTTATTACAGTTTTTAAAATATGAATTAAGTTAAACAAGTTTTAGTAAGATATCAGTAACAAATCATGTAACGAAGTGGATTATTATTATATATTTATTTCCATATATATATATATATATATATTTGTACTTAATCATATTTGAATTGGTAACAGTTTTTTAAAACATTTCTTGTTATTTATGTTTCTTCTTTTATTATTATTATTATTATTATTATTATTATTACTATTACTATTACTATTACTAGAAGGGTACTCGCGCAATGCAGCGAGATATATCTCAATTTTTAATGTTTCGTTTTATTCTGTTTTTTTAGATGTTTTAATACGGTGTTTATGTGGTTTTGAGAAAAAGATAATGTTTTTAATTTTAAATAAAAATATAAATTGGAAGATATCATAAAATTTAGAAAATAAATGTATCAATATTAGTATCAAATCAACTATTTAAAAGTTTTTGTTTTTTGTGTAATTCCTTTAATTTAATTTTTTTATTATAATTTAATTTATATTTATTAATGAAGTATTTTATTTTTGTTTTAATAATATATTTTTTATGAGGATAATA